GAAGCGCTTCATTGTTGGCAAAAAGTACATATAACTAAGTACTAATATCTCCACTCCTTGTTGGAGTCAACCTCTTTTAATACGCGTTGCCTAAGTAATTCCCCGAGGAGTGGTACGAGGCTGAATCCGTTAGGCAGCTTCAGTCCAAAAGCTGCGAATGCGACTTAGGTTCGCACCAGGAAAGTGATAACGAAAAGTCCGAAACCGAGAATGCCAGCGAACTCTGGAGATGCATCCCTTGCGACCATGTTGATGGGATAGCCTGAATGCTTTGCTACTCTCTTGGCCTTGGACGTCCGGGACCCCATATACCGATGTTCTATAACTCGGAAACTCTTACTCGTCGTAGAAATGACGGGCCGCAATATTACATGGATTTGAAGAGGACATACGACCCTCTCACAGGCTGCCCGGGATCGCCAGCCTTTTACAGCATGAGGTGGTAGGGTTCTGATCGATATCGGCGCTGGTTTGTTTAGTGGGATATGGTTTATGAAGCCAAAGCTTCTTGCCTCACGGCTAACGAACTAGACTAGTATATGGCCGAAAGCAGTGCTGCAGAGCCGGGACCAGGTCTTATAGAATAAATAATGTGTATGAATCGTGCCTAACTTTGCCCGGATTTTACGAAGGGCTCACCTGCGGCAAATTCGTCGATGAGTAATTCGTGAATTAGTTCTGGGACCCCATGGTTGACAGTTTCAGAGTACGATCAATTCGAGACATGCAGATACGCCAACGTTGAGGCTTGGGGGCTGGGGCGTACAAGCCAGGAGCAGGCCAATCAGAGCCCAGATATACACGCCCATCTGCAAAAATATATTCAAATCATCAATCTGAGGATGAGCATCTGCATGTCTATACAGGTTTTATGAGGTCGTACAAACTTCTTGGGTCGTATTTAATCCTCAAGCCACCACAGTTGAGCTCAGTTAGGCAGCTTGGTAAAATATCACCCCTCTTGTCTGCGTAGATATTTGAACATGAGCCATGATGATTGCCTCCTTCCGTCTCAACTTACAAAGCCATGTCGTTGTGAGCGGATACTCGCGAAGGCACATTCGTTCCTCTTTCTCTACCTAATCGGCGTGTCATGCAAGATAGACTAGCTCGCAATGTCAAGCAGGCTCGGGCCCCTAACAACAACATTCGCACCAGCATCAGAATGTAACTCGGTCGTCTCTGGCGTCGTCCACACGCAGACCCTCGATGACGGCAATATCACAACGTATAAATATCACACCCTCGGGCCCAGCGAAACGTCCAAATGTTATCCGCCAGGATTTGCACCGACTGCCGCCTTTTATTCGCCTGCGATCTGCCCGTCCGGCTGGTCGGCAGGTTGTAGCTCTGTAGATGTGATCGGGAGTCTTACGGAGACTAGAGCGATATGCTGTCCCCTGTACGTCAGTTTTATTTCCATGGGCGCATTACAGAAGCGGTGATACCTGACTTACATGAATTCCTTCCCAGTGGATACACGTGCAACACGAATCCGCAAACGGCAGGGACATGGTCGACATTGTCCTGTTCGTCGGCTTGCTGGACGCCCATTTCAGTAACAGTCCCTGATGTATCCAATCAGCAATACCGGGTCACCGTGCTATCCCAAATCCTCATAAACGCCGCAGCCGTCAACATCAGATGGCAACGAGACGACTTCATCGCGTCTAGCACTAGTACGACAAGTTCTCTACCTACATCTTCTGCGCTTACATCTTCTGCGCCGACGTCTTCTACGTCTTCATCTTCTTCAACAACTCCCGTCTCAAGCGGAAGTGCTACGAGCACTTCGCCCGTAGTAACTGATACTCCGGACTCGGGCGGGACCCAATCATCTCTGGCTATTGGTTTAGGTGCAGGACTTGGAAGTCTACTACTGATCGTGCTCCTGGCTGGCTTTGTGTACTGGTGGCGGCGGAGGCGTAGGTCGGTAAGGAGGCGACAAGGACACACGATTGCCCCAATGACATGGTCTCAGAAGCCCACGACGCAGCCACCGGCGGAGCTATGGGAACAATTCCAACAGGAGATGCAGACGCCGAGCAACACGCATGAGATGTTGACAGCGAGCAATACGCATGAAGCTATGGGCGTTTCACTGCCGGCGGAGCTACCTTCACAGCGCTGGATATAGAGTCTTGGAGAGTAAGAGAAGAGGCTACCAAAAGCGCTACCGTCTCGTGGGTAAACCTCGATTGACAACGTTGAGGCGGAAACGTCGGAGTTTTCTTGGATAAGGAGTCACTAAACGGGCGTTGTGACGGATTTCCTTTACATTTCCAGGGGTAGTTACGATATTTGTGCAAACCAGTATCCCCGAAGTTAGCAGACTCAGAGTAGGTATATACGATCGATTCCGTAGCAAGTCAACGTGAAAGACGTAATGCGATGCTAAACGAATACGAGTCTTTGGGTACGAATGTCTCACGATAACTCTCGGCGATAATCAAAGCATCTATGAAAGCTCCTTCACGTTCCAGTTTGCTCTCGTCGCTAACTAAGAACATTATCCTCCTTATCCCGGGCGGCACAGATGTATTTCGAGGCTCTCATCCGACCTTACTTCTGTATGCCGAGTTTCCGCCATCTGCTCCTGGGTCTCAATATAAGGAGTTGGCATTCTGTTAGGTGTAGTCACTAAAATGCAATGCCTTACATGGGATTGCTAAGGGTGGCCTGTATATACGTGTAAATAACACTACTTCTAGAGACTAGGTTTAGGTACTGATCACATCCTACTAAATCTCCTATATTTCCGTATCGTCATTGGTCAAATGAAGGTAAATTGAATGATCATTATCTATAGCATCTAGCCATCTACACGTCACTAGCATAGGCGATTTTTCTGGTACTATAGCTTCGCCTGTCATATAGTATTTGTGAGGTTCTATGCCTATTCCGTTTGCAGTTCAATCAGATTGTAACGCCATACACTTTGCTATAGATGACTAACCCGCAAATATCATTTGGCGGACGCGGCTACTATAAAGGTTTAGTCCACGCTCCCATATTTCATTAATACCAGCGAATACTAAGTCATAACTTACACTTTGGTATCGTATGGTGATCGTGTATCATATTCAGCAATGTCTAAGCGCATGTCCTCGAGGGGTTCTGAGAGTAAAGAGCCCAAGTCAGGTTCCAGAGAGGATAAGGGCCCAACAAGTCCAGCTAGGAGTTCCCCACGCAGTTCGCCTTGTACCGGTACTTCAACGCCTACCGAAGAGTCCTCAGACCGAATAGCCGGTCACTCCATTTATACAATACCCGGACTAGAGGCCGATGAAAGCTCGTCAGACGACGAAAGATCGACGCCTCGGGACACCCATCCGCGTGTCGGAGGCCTGAGACTCGTATCCCAACGAGCAACATTTCAACAACTCTCTGGAACTTCAGGAGGATCGTCCCACCATGAGGGTGCTCACCAAAGTGGAGATAGCTCTGATAAGGATCTAAGTAAAGAGCAGTCTAGCATTGTAACTCACCCGGAACTCTTGCCACAGCGTGGATCATCATCACAGCCCGATATATCGCTGTCCGGGCCGTCCGACAAAGAAGACGAAGATACTAATATCAAACCGCGCTAGGTGAAGGGGTAGGCGGAGGAGAATAAGTTGTGGAATACGATGGAGGTTATGTCGGAACACTTTACCTGTTTTTCGTATTAGCCAAAATAGTTAGAAAACAATGAATGTTGATACAAAACAAATCACCATCTGTGATGTGTATGCAATGTGCTGCCGTCTTGACGCCAAATAGCTCATTCTCCTGTTCCGCACCAGTTTCCTGATACACATATTCTCAACTTACCAGAAACACTTGATATCAAGAACACGACTTTACCAAGGCCAGCTTGCACAATACAATTGCCGCCTTACCCCAAAAATTCGCAATGAACCAAGAGTTCGCGCTTCCAGCGGATTACCAGCGTGAATTCCGAGAGTCTACACAAACTCCGGAACACTACTTCCTTCCTGGCGACGGGGCCCAATTTCCCAATGGCCACGGCTTTGGCGCAGTTATGAGGCCACTGCGGGAGTGCGTTAGAATAGAGCGCCAGATAGCCCTGGAACACGCTCTCCACATGGGTGCGGCCGAAACAGGCTACCCGGCGAATGTGGAGTATCCGCGCTTTCCCCCTTTCACCATCCTCCAGTGGTGCGTACATGTCGGGCCGTCAAACAGGATGCTCCGGGACTTGCTCGATGTTTACCTGCGTCATTTCCCAGAGGCAAGGGTAACGCCGGAAGTGTATAGCGTGTTCTACCTTCCCCAAGAGGAGGAGTAGATGGCATACTGGTTTGATCACGGAGTTTGATTAAGGTTGTTTCGAGCGAGTGTTTACTGGTATATTCCGTTAGATTAAAAGATTAATAACAAGAAAATTAATCCTTGAGAGCTAATTTCAATAACATCTTAAAAGTCATGACCTATTGACGAGTTGTAATTATATATAATTAGAGTATTCTACTCACAAACGAAAATGAATGTGACATTGTGGAGGGGGGAAAGATGAGCTATTATATCTCAGAGACCGTACTGAAGGTATGGCCGCCCTTTCACCACCATATGTCTAGGAATTGGCTCAGAACTGTAGGCATTCTTTGTTGATGACTCAATAGTAAAACCAAGCTCGCGCGTACGACGTTCACTTGAAGCACCTATCCGGTATTTAAGAAAACACAAAGGAATGATGAACAGTTTCAATGAAGCTGTTTTTGAAGAACGCAATGGGTGTTGATTTTGTGAGCGAGTGTTCACAATAGAAGAGACTCTTGTGCCAAAAGTAGGACGGTCACAAGACATGTATCTATAGGCAGCATGAGTGTTTAGTGCCCAAATCACTGATGACTTCATTAATGCGACGGAGTAGACACGTAGCGAAGCTCGCTTCTTATTATTATGATCAAGGAAAGAGACCTAGGTGCTCCGTGTTGAAGGGTCCTCCACTTCTAGATGTACTAGTTTAACCACAACCCACATCACAACCGAACACCGGCCGCTTGGCCCAATGGTAAGGCGTCTGACTACGATCGAACATGTGCAAATGTATTCGATGAGTTATCAGGAGATTCTGGGTTCGAGCCCCAGGGTGGTCACTTCTGGAATATTTATTTTTTTGGCGGATGGAATTGGGTCTAGGGTTAGGGTCTACGCTATGGAGATGGTTCCTTGCGCTAACTATATAACTTGAAAAATCTACTTTCGCCCTCTTCCTTTCCTCTTATCAGTTCCTGTTGATCCACTATTACATAAAAGTGAATCTACAATTATGTCGCCGGTAGGAAGCTCAAAAGCACAGGAGGAACGTTATGAATTTTCGTGGGTATATGCAGGTATTTTCACCTGAATTATAGCCGCAATATACGAACAACTTGGCAATATTATAGAGGATTTTAAGAAAATTGGGACCGGAACTAGCCATTACCGGACTAGCCAACATCCATGAATACTTTGTCATTAAGTAACTTAACTATGTGAGAGTGCGTCTCGTTGTTGACAATAAGAACGAACCCTGTGTGGGTCTGGTCACCCATTCAGCGGCTCTCACATTGCCTTGCGTAGCTCGGACTGAATTACAGGTTACTTGTTCGAAAGGAATAATGTGTAAAGTTTGAAAGATTCAATTGTATATCAAAAGGTTGGAAACACCGGCTTCCGTCTTACGAATGCTAAACCTCTCCTCCAGACGTGGACAATGAATACAACATCATCGTAAGCCTTAAATCATACTATGTACCCCATCCAGAAGCGTGGTCAGAATCAGTGGATACCCCGTCCTAGAAACTCTCTTCCTCTCTTGAAATCTTCTCCGAATACTATACGCCATCTACCAGCAATTGACCTACAGAGTGTCAGAGTAAAAGAATCGTTAGGTCTAACAAACTTGATACTTACGCTAACCTGGCTGGTAGTCTTGTCCGTGTCGATGCTGCACCCGTTCACGCATTTCTGTGGACTGGTGTCAGTAGATCTGCATCATTTGCGATTGTACACCCGCCGAACTATCTCGAGCAACTTACAGCGCCGTTGGTGCAGTTCGCGATCTTGATCATCCCTACTTTGCGGCAAGCTGAGTCGCTACCGCACTCGTAATCTGATGCGGCCACAAGGGACACACCAAGGAGTAGGATGGCGAGGAACTTCATGTTGTTGAGGGTTGAGTGGTAATAAATTTGGTAGTGGTAGTCTTGAGGAGTGAATATTAATCTTGCTTAATGAAGTAGAGACTGTGAGAACTTTGACGGCGAGATGGACTGATTATATATACATCATATAATGCGCTCGTCAAGATCTAACTACCCCTAAGCGGGTTCCTCGGAGGGACGTGCTCTTCGATCAAAGGGGTTTCTTGAAGATTGTGCTTTTTCTGGTGTGTAACCAACATGTATTACCACGGGCACCAACGTAGAGATAACTTGGACCATAACGCCCACTGGGAAATTAGGTAAAGTGAGGCGATACGGATATAAACCTAGGGCTTAATCTTGGACGGCTGCTCTCAACTGACATGTCAAATCGATTACCTACTAGTTGTACCAACACCGTCAATGCCCACATGTACATATGTACGTATATAGTTGATATCTGTAATGCTCGTGTCTGGTCTCGGGCTTCTAACATACCTTCTAAATTCTAAAATGGCTACAGTGTCCCAGGACAAAGGATCCTCGAATCTAGTTGATCCCCAGTAATTATGGCTTCCATCAGCTCCAGTGTGGCTAACACTAAGCTCCGTTTCATCTTCCAATTAATCTAAGCGTAGGATCACCGCGGCATCAAAGCAAGCGGGTCGACCCAGGTCTAATCCTATCTGTAAGTGAAGCCTCTTGACGGCCAGGTTTGCTATATTAGAGTGGACTCATCATATCGTGTTAATTACGACTGCTGTCTCACATGACGTGGTCTAATAGCACAGGGAGCCCTCGTTGCCTCAAATTCCTCCATGTGCTTGGAAGTCGTAACCAACGGTTCCCCAGATGCCTTCATCTAGTTGGTTTGCGTGTTTGCTTATTTTCTCCGGAGATCAGCTCCCGCCGAGTTTCGAATAGGTAATTTCGACTGAGCCCAAGTAAGACGGATGCTAGATTGAGTCTACCAGGGATTTATTAACTAAGTAAGAGAAGCTTATACGTTGACAGACGAGTTTATGTATGCAGTACCATTGGCGTTGATAACTATGGCGACTTGGCCGAGAATAGCTGATAATATAGGATCAAAGAAGAGTTATGGAAGTTGCATAAGTGTAGATATATCAACATCAAGGTTTTTATGGAGATGGTTTTATCTACTTCATGAATGAGATTGTTGCTGGGATAGGCTAATGCGGATTATGACTTAGCATAGATTGATATGAAGCTATTCGCATCTGATAATACGATAAGACAATATAAGTCCATTGGCGAAAGAATCGGCGTCATAATCGCAATATGACATGAACGGTTGGGCCTTGAAAAATAATGATTAGTCTACTAGATATCTTCAACATCCCCTATGGGTAAATAGGTGAAATATTGTTGTCGCATCCGAGAACGAAGACTACGGGCGCGGACCGAAAGCTGCAGCAACAACTCCTTAAACCCGGTCGCCGATCTCGGATATAGCCGGAGCTTAAGCACACGGCTCAAGCTTTTCCTCCTGCGTGAAATTCCACCCGGGTGAGACGTCACCGCTTATTCCGAGCCGAAACCTTCCAAAATTCTTTCTAATTAAACTTTCCGCTCCGGATTCCAATGAGGTAGCCCGTATGTACCATGGCGGCCGACCAGAAGCAGAAGCCGGCAGCGGCCAGCAAGAACTACAAGGGTTTCGTGGCTGGCGTCTTCTCCGGCATCGCCAAGCTGACGGGTGAGTCTCTTCGTCTCTTTACCTACCTAGCGCACCAATGAATGAATGAATGAATACGAATAAAGCAGTGCTGACCACAACTCAGTCGGCCACCCCTTCGACACCATTAAAGTGCGCCTCCAGACCACCGATGCGTCGCGCTTCAGCGGACCGCTGCAATGCGTGGTGCAGACCGTGCGCAACGAAGGCGTGCGGGGTCTATACAAAGGCGCGTCGCCACCGCTCGTCGGATGGATGTTCATGGACTCGGTGATGCTGGGCTCCCTCACTGTGTACCGGCGTCTCCTCGCGGAACATGTGTTCCACCCTGACCTGCATCCCTCGTCACCCTCTAAGAAGCCGCCCGAGACAGAGGGCCCCATCGCGGCGACCTCGCACGCTGCGGCGCATCTGCCCTCGTACGGCCATGGACTCGCGGGTGTACTGGCGGGTTGCACTGTGAGCTTCATAGCAGCTCCCGTAAGTTAAAAATCTCTCCATGGATTTAAGCCCAGCAGCTAATACACTACCAGGTCGAACACGTCAAAGCACGCTTACAGATCCAGTACGCAGCGAAGAAATCCGCACGACTATACTCAGGACCAGTGGACTGTCTGCGCAAAATCTACGGCGCCCACGGTGTGCGCGGCGTGTACAAGGGGTTATTCGCAACGCTGCTATTCCGCTCGTTTTTCTTCTTCTGGTGGGGATCCTACGATGTGCTCTCGCGCGCCTTGAGCAAGCGCACGAATCTCAGCGCGCCGGCGATCAACTTCTGGGCGGGTGGGCTCAGCGCCCAGATCTTCTGGATTACGAGCTACCCGAGCGACGTGGTCAAGCAGCGCATTATGACTGATCCTATGGGTGGTGGGCTCAACGATGGGACGCCGAGGTTCAAGAATTGGTTGCAGGCGGCAAAGGCTGTTTATAGAGAGGGCGGTGTTAAGGGGTATTGGCGGGGATTTGTGCCGTGCTTCTTGAGGGCGTTCCCCGCGAACGCAATGGCTCTTGTGGCGTTCGAAGGCGTGATGAGGGCATTACCATAGAATAGAAGACTAACTTGCTCACGAAGTTATGCAGCAAAAGTTAGACTAAGGATAGACACCACTCAACACTAGATTAGAGGGAAACATGAAGATAATTGTTTGCAATGGCGAATTTCATTTCTGGGAATCCTAGTCTATCTGCGATAGCATAGAAGTGCCTGTCCTACGCCGAGTCCATGCACCAGCCGCCCCAGCCTTTTCCATCCGTCATGATCGCGTGTGCACTTAGTCCTCATCCTCATCGGCCTCGTCGTTAACGACGTTGAAGAACTTGAGCTCGTACACTCCCTTAGAGGTGGAGACGACACGGAGCCAGTCACGGAGCTGCATCTTCTTGAGGAACTTCTTGGTCCTGGAGCGGTAAATTATTAGTATCTTGCGCGTCGTCGAAGTAATAATCGTTGGCAGGGTATTGCTTACAGATACTTGAGGTATCGGCCAGAGAGCTCGTTGTGGGCGATGACCTCGATCTTGCCCTCGCCAGCCTGCTGGATAACAATGGTGTCGCCGAGGTTTCCGGTGCGGCCATCGACCTTGATCTTGTCCTGAAGGAACTTCTCGAAGGCGGCGGTGTCGAAGATCTTGTCGCTAGCGGGCTGAGCGGCGTTGATGACGAACTGAGACGAATTGTTAATATGTCGCATTCTTCAGATATTTCTGGGGTTTGGGAGAGTCTACCTTCTTCGTCGTCTTGGCCTGCTTGCCGGACTTCTTCTACATGATGATTGACCTTAGCCTACTGTTTCACGCCATGATCTCGCTGAGTGCCAGAGAGACTGGGCCAACAGCAAAGCGGTGTCAAGTGATACATACTGTCTGAGGAGCCATTGTTACTGGTGGTGAGAGAGAACGCAAAGAGATTTAATCCTGCGCCTAGAGATTGAGGTGGTTGAGGAAGAGAAGATGTTGCTTGCGAAGCGTTGATGGTTGGATGGAATGAAGTAAAAGAAAAAAAAAGTCCGCCGAATTTTGATACGAACTTTTTGGTGTATCGAAAAACCGGCGGTGGGGCTCGGCACGCCGATAGGGCAAGCAAATGATGGTTCGTGCGTCAGCCCACCTGGGCAGCTGTTGCCAATTTCACTCACTGTATGCCCAGGTGGGGAGTACAGTAATTACCACGTGCGTGTACGGTGAGCAGTTCAACTCCACATACGGGTCCCCGCACACGTCCGTGGTTGCCGTCATGTACTAGCCTACGAAATAGCTACGACAGAAAGGGTAAA